ATAAAATTAAATACTACTATAATATAATCTTTATTTTCAAATATTATTAAAAAAATTTTTATTTAAATATTTTAAAAATTAAAAAATATAGATTATAAGTATATTTATAAGAATTTTCTAAGCAAATTTAACTGAAAAAGCTTACAAATTAAGGGATATATATATATATATATATTTTTACCTTTGTAATATTATGGAAAAGCAAATTTTTATTAGGCATTTTAGTAGTATATTCTTAATTAATGAGAGTACATGTAGCCACATATACAACTTTTAGTTACCTATTTAAGTAATCTGTCCAAAAGGTTCTACAATATGCTATACCTGTAACCTAACTAGGTGATTACCTATTTAAACTCTCTGATGTTCTCTATTCTGCACCACCACCACAATTACGTCAGTTTATAATTTTGTGCTACTTCAATTAAAAACTATCCAGATTGACATATGCTATACTACTTGACTCTAATTCTATAGATAACCCAGTAAAGTCTTCATACTACTGGGTTGCCCTAGAGGAGGTGTAGTATATACTCTCTAATTTTTCTATATCCTATGCACTTTTTAGATTAGGCAATGAATACTGTATATATCTGAAAATAAGCTACTATTTTTTGGCTAAAATATTACACAAAAATTTTGTAAGTAGCTTATTATTGGATAAAGGTGTTTTTTGCTAATTACAAAAAAATTTTATTAAGTAAATCAATTATCTTTTAAACCGTCCAGTAGGCAAATTTGCTCACTAAAAATTATTTTATTTTATCTTTTTGTAATTTCTTCCGATCTTATTAAGTCATGCCCCCTTTACTAACACAAAATTAAAGTTTATTATGTAAATAATCACCTATAATTTCTGTGTTGCAGAACTTCTAATATGTTATATGCAAATGTTGATCAAAAATTGACTTTGAGTAACTTGATAATCATCGTCCAAAAAAACAAAAAAAAAATCTACAAAAACTTTCTTTTGTAGATTTTCTATACTTGAAAGTAAAATACAATCTTCGAGTTCATTGTCTTTGAATTCGTTGCCTTCTAGTACATCGTCTTTGAGTTAGTCAGGCTTTGAGAATACTGAGGTCAGTGCTGATGATGAGGAATACAAACTAGTTTTGATATTCTGCCAGCATGGCTTTGACAATCTGGAGTCAGATCCTAAGCATGATGATGAGGAGAAAGAAGAAAATGCTATAGAAATAGATACTAATAGTGTCTGAAAAAGAAAATGTAAACCAGCAAGAGCCGTATAGCAAGAGTTACCACCACCACCAGACTTTGAACTATTTGTTTAGAGCCCATTTTATCGAGCAAGTATTCGGTTATCACCACATTTTGAAGTTGGTGGTTCTAAACTGATTGACTTTTTTTTTCTTTTTTTTACAGACAATATGATAGACACAATAGTAATTAATACTAATCTGTATGCTTCAGCAAACGGTGCCAGCAATAGGTTGTTACTTGGATTGCGCTTGTAATTTACTAGGGGCTGTTCAAATTGCCCTCCCTTAATTAATATTGGAATGATGATCCAAGACTCCCAATTTATAGTATTTCAGAGCAAATGCTATTAAAATAGTTTGAACAAATAAAGAGGTATTTGCATATTTTACCCCCTGGGCCAATAATAAAAAACTACTTTAAAAAAGTGGAGCCGCTGCTTTCATATATCTGTAATGCTTTAAAAAGGTATTATATACCAAATATGAATGTTGCTGTAGATGAAATGATCATTCAGTTTTCGGACAAAAGTGTTTATACAGTTAAAATAAAGAACAAGCCCACCTTAGAAGGCTTCAAAGTTTTTTCACTTTGTGAATCTGGGTATACATATACTTTTTTAGTGATTCTAGCCGAAATTAAAAAAATCGGTTAAGCCGATTTTTCGACCCAGTTGGTCGATTTTTTCTAAAATCGGCTAGCCGATTTTATAACAGATAAGTTCTGATTATATACATACGTACATACGTTGGCACATGAGTGGCTATAGCTGTGAGAGATTTGTTACTCTGCAATATTATTATCGGTAACATTACAGTATTAATTCTAATATCAAAAAAAAAATAAAAATAAAATATACTTTTTTTTTTACTTAGTTTGAAATCTTCTTTAGTGTAATTGTTATATAGAAGTTTTTGTTAAGCTATCTACTTCTTTTTTAATTGAAAAGATTTAACGTAGGGTGAATCCATCAAATAAACAAATTAGCTAAATAAACAAAGACAATAAGAAATTAATGACAAAATAAAATGGATTAAAATAGTGAATGAATTTTTTTACTAGATGGTTAAAGTTGGTTATAAATACTAAAAAATTGATTTATAAATAAGATTAGGGGTGTTATCTGGTCTGGTCTAGACTAATAGACCACAGTCAATCTTAAAACAAATAAAGAATCGAAAAAAAATTGGTCTGTTCTTGGTTATAAGACTAGACAGGCCTGGACTGGTCTAGACTTATTAAGTTTTAAGACTATAGACCACAATAGGCCAGACCAAAGCTGGACCAAATAGACCAGACTGGACCATACCAGACTGGTTAATATTCTATTATTTGTAATTAAATTAAATAAGCTATTTATTTTTAATTTACATTCTGGTATAAGTGCCTTATGTATATAATCAATGTTTATTTAAGTTTGTCTTAAAGATTCTCTTTTTTTTCGAATTCTACATTTTTTTTGTAGTTATGAAGTGTTATATAATATTCTATATTTGGCCCATAAATAGGCTGCTGATAAGAACATTAGAATAAACTAAAAATTTTGTTAATATATAGCTAAACTTTATGTAAGACATGGCTACAGACATTCACGTACCCAAACTCTTTTGCCGATTATGCTGAAAATACCAAGTGTTCTAGAAGTTATTAAATGGCAAATACTGATATATATATTTTGCATAAATAATCATCATAATCTTTATTAAAAAAAGAGACTGCTTAGTAGTTTGAGCATACAAAATTATAAATTTCGAGAATAGGTTAACTCATCATATGTATATGCGATAGTGTTTAGGTTTAGTCAATTTATTATACATTATTGACTATTACTATTATAAGGTAAACCCTTGAATATTAATGTTAAGTACACTGCATTAATATATTATCTGAGGTAACGAATTATATATGTATATACTGATATGTATGTACATATGTTGTACTGCTATACTACTATAAGTAAGTGCATTTAAAATTTTATGTACCTATTTTATTATCTATTCGACAGCTAATATTATATTATAATTATATATAATATATAGATAAAAACTGTCAATAATCCTAATACTTATCCATAAGCAAAGTGAAAATAATAATATTTAATAGCAAAATGACAATAACAAATCCAGATAAGGATTTATTTACAAAAATTTTTAAAAAGAATGTGTATTATTTTAAATCAGGATAGGGGTTAAAATTGTGTTGATTTTCTTTTAGAAAAAGCAAGTCATATACTGTGTTGGGATGAAGGTGATTTTGTTTTTCAGTAACTATATTCCCAGCATCAGAGAATAATCGCTCAGATGGAACTGAGGTTCTAGGAATAGCTAATAACCTTCATGCTTGATGTGCCATTAAAGGAAGACTTGATTTGTTATTACCCCAGAATATTAAAGGGTTATGAATTTGATAAAGAAAATTGGAAAGATCGTACTTAACCATTTTAGATATATCAAAATAAACTTTAAGTTCAGTTTCAACAAGACACAATTGGTCAGAGGTTTTTTCAAATAGTAAGCTTAACAAAGAAGAAGAAGAATTATTGTTAGGTAAATATTTTGATGAATAATTATTGTTCTTTATATCTTCTTTCATTCGACGTTGCAATTCATTTTTGTTAATTCAAATTTTTCTAGCTCAAAATTTAAATCTTTAAACCTTGGATCTAACATAGCTGCAATATATCCATCTAATCCTAGTTCTTCCTAACGTTCACCAAATGACAACTTAATTTCATCATGCACTTTGCAAATAGTTGAATGTGTAAGAGTTTTTTCTTTTTGAAATAGATGCTCTTGTAAGATTTTAACTAATGGTAGCATTATTAAAAGAGTAGGGTAATGGTCTCCACCTACTATAGTTGTAGTGCAAATAGATCTAATAATTCAACCAACTCCTGAATTCCTAACAAATCATCATCATTAAGAAGTAATGTATCTAGTGTTTTAGCATTATTTCTAACATCTCTTTCTTTGTTTTTTGCAAGGTCTTCTTGTAGCTTTTTTATTGATTCATAAAGTGAAAGTAACTGATTTAATAAAAGATAAGTAGAGTTCTATCTTGTTGTAGTATCATTTGAAATTGGATCTAAAACTGAAGCATTTTAATTATTAATTAGTGGATTTTTTGCTTTAGCTATTTCAAGTTGTATTAACTGCAATTTTTCTCTATATTTATCTTTTCCTGCAATAAATAAGTTAAGAGTTTTTGTATGATTTATAAGATCAGTTGCATACTTTAAACCATCTATTACTCCAAGCTGAATGGTATGAGCTGTGCATCGAATATGTAAGATATCTATATCTTTTAATGCTTTTATCATTGAATTTGCATTGTCAGTTATACCTGCTATATATTTGTCATCTAAATCCTATTTAGCTAATTCTCTTCTCAAACAATCTTCAATGTGTTCTGATGTATGTGATATGAAAAACCTTCGATTGTAAGTAAAGCTTTATGCATTTTAAATTCAGAAGAAAGCCAGTATGCTGTAATTCCGATATAGGGTTTGTGAGCTTTGGTCCATAAGTCTGTAGTAAATGCAAAACATTCTAATGTATTATTAATTAAAATTTTTAGACTATCTTCAAAATACTTCATCGAATTAAACATTTTTTGCTTAAATATATCTTCATATGGAAATTGAAATTGTAATTCTGCTTCATATAAAATATCTTGAAATCGGTTATTTGCTAAAACATTAAAAGGCTGCATGTTATCAATTATCTATGCCAAGATTCTAGAAATAATTCTATCCTGTTTTTTTTTTGGCAATGGTACTTTGCAATTAACTAATTCTAATAATATAGACTGTGATGAATCTAATTAAACAGGTCGTGATTGTGCTATTTCTTTTTTATTACTTAAAAGTAATAAGGAACTAGTTTGATTTAATCTATGCTCAGTTTGAAGATGACCAGCTAAATTTGTAGTACTTGTTGTTAATTTGAATTTAGCTGAACATTATTAAAGATTATTATCATCATCAATTTATGCACGGCATAAGATTTTTTTAGCAATTTTGTCTTTATGCATATAAAGCTATACTTAGCTTTTTTCTGGTTTAGTCTTTTTATTAGCTTTGTTATTTTGTAATTTATTAACTTTTCTTTTATTAATAATATTTTGTTGTGATTTAAATGCTTGTAAGGTTGTACTTTGAGTAGAATTACATAGATTTTTTGCTTTGTCTAAAGAAGGTTCACTATCAACAAAAAGTTCATTATCTGAGGAAAGTTTATTATCTAATAGTAATGGTTCGTTATTAGATAAGAAGAACTGTTGTTCATTAGATGATAAAAGCGATTCTTGATCTGATAACCAAGAATCCTCATTAAGCAATAGTTCGTCATTAGAGAAATTTTGCAAAGACATTTTGTATACAAATACTAATAGCAAAAAATAGAATAATGAAAAAATAGCTTTATTTATATAATTTCATAAAGGTAATAATGTAAGAATATTAAAGAATTTAAGATAAGAATTTATTTAATAATAACTTCAAGGTAAAAGAAAGGTTTTTTTGATTTATTTAGAATTTGAATTAAAGATAACTTTACTAAATTAATTTTATATACTTTTTAAAAAAAAACTTCTATCGCATTTTGTTACTATTTTATATAAATTTTAAAAAAGTTTAAGTAATTGGGGCTTGGATTGTAAAATGTTTATCTTTTTTACTTAAATTTCACATGCTAATTATTTTTATTTTATTTCTTATAGTATGAATTCGAAGATTGTTAGAATTTATTTTGATTTTCACATTTATTTGCATAATTATTGATATGGTTTAATCTATTTTGTGTTATTCTTTATTTCAGAATTTAATCACAAATATGAATTCAATTATTTTACTTTTTTAGTTTAGTAATTTGGGTACAACATTAAAAGCATGAGAACTTAGTTATATATTATTCTGATAAAAATTATTTTTAGAGCGAGCTAGAGGTATGATTTATGTGAGGTAAAAGATAATTTCAACCAAGATTTTTGGGCTTATGGGTTGAATTTTAGTAATATCTCAAATATTTTTTATATTTGATAAATCACTAATAATTATGATTTCTCATTAATACAATTGCGCAAAGATAATGTTATAAAATATATCTTTAGTTAGAGCTGTTATAACTTATATAAATATAGAAAAAATAGAATATAATTATTAGTAGAATTTAAAGCTTTATAATTTTTTTGATAGATCAAATAAAATTTTATAGCTAATCAATTTTAATTTTAGCATTATTAGCTGAATTGTTTGAACTATATGACAATTAATTCAATAAAAAATTTAAATGAAACCAATTCTTATAATTCGATAACATTAAAACCAATTATGTCATATACAGTCAGACCTCTCTATAGTCACCTCCTCTATAGTCACATTTGATTATAATCACAAAAATTTTTAAAACCAACT